GTGTATATGTAAAATCCAGCTCCCTTGGTGTATATATAAAATCCAGCTCCCTTGGCGTATATATAAAATCCAGCATGTACGTTCCTTCTCTGGCTTTTCCTAATTTACCCAGTTGTTCATGAGTCAGTCAGCAACATGAAGGTTGATTTTTTTCCTTATAGTAATTTACCAATAATTTGAATAGCAGTAATTAATCTAGTATTAATCTAGTAATTTGATACAACACAGCATGGTGGACATCACTTCTCTCTGTGTGCTATGTTAGTACCTCCTCCACTAGGACCTAATGAAAAATCATACATTTACTATCAGTAAGACTTCACAGGGTAACTCATATATCATGTGTCCCTTTTGAACTTGAATTATGGCAGTTCAGAAGCTCTAACTGACGACTGAGTTATCTCATCAATTGCAAAATAATTACGAGAGAATTGTTACTTAAATAGAAGTAGCTAGGGTTGGGTATAGTGGCTCAAGGCTGTACTCCGATTACTTAGGGAGGCTGCGGCAGGAGGATTGCTTGAGGCCAGGAGTTTGAGTCTAGACTGGACAATATAGTGAGACCCTATCTTTATAAAAAATAAGAAAAATTAATCAGGTGTGGTGGTACATGCTTTCAGTTCTAGCTATTTGCAAGGCTAAAGAAAGGATCACTTGAGCCCAGGAGTTCAAGGCTACAGTGAACCATGATCATGCCTTTGCACTCCAGCCTAGACAACAGAGCCATATCCTGTCTAAAAATAGATAGATAGATGGATGAATGGATGGATGGATGGATAGATAGATGGATGGATGGATGGATGGATATGCCTGCTTTTCTATAGATAAAATCCTTTCAAAGGTGGAGGACAATAAAAAATAATCTGGAAAAGCTATCTTGTGGTGAAAAAGAATGAGAAGATATCGAGTAGATTGTTAGTAAAATACCAAGGATACCCCACTGAAGGATGCTGAATAAATAATTTTTATATTGTCTCATCTTTCCTAAACGTACCACAGCATTTTTATTTTCAAACTTGAAGTAATTTTAGGGTCTTTTGCTCTGAAAATATTTTAAAAATTTAAAAAATGCTTTACACATGCTTATGTTAACATTCATATAAAGCACAAACTAGAATCCCCCCTTGGATACCCATTCATCAGAAGCCACCAGGCTGGCAGTTTGGCATAGGCCTTTCCAGCCAGGTTTTGTGCTCTGTGTATGTAACACGGAAGAGTTACCCAAAAGTAGAGTTACAAGGATAATGTTGGTCTGAAATTTGCTTTTTCCCCCAACTTAACTCTAGAAATACTTGAAGGACATCTTTCCGTATTAGTAAATGTTGCTGTTATGTTTAAGGTATCCCCCTGTGTATATTGTAATTATTTAATTGTTCTAATGCAGTGCCCCAAATTTTTAGTAATAAGTGACATGGCCGCCCACATCTCTGCACGTACTTCTGTGCCTGTCTGGTCACAGTAGTGGTCCTAACACATGAATTCCTGGGAGGAGAATTGCAGTGTCGACAGCTGGGCTTTGAATCGTTGAAGCTCTTGTCTCTGTCCTGTCTTTTCAGCCTGTTGGTCTTCCCAGCTCTGAGGGTGTCTGAACAGCAGGCACACAGGGAAATGCGATCCTTAATCCTTCCCTTGCCATCACCAGTCCCCTCATCTCCCTCTAAAGTTTATAACTGCTTACGTTATAACAGAAGCAGCTGGCCTTTCAGGTCCAAAAGGACCCCAATATGGACTGTCTGTCACCTTAGACGGCAGCTGAGGCTGCTGCCTTCAGCTGAGCGGCATTTGCTCCCACCTCACTGTGCCGCCTGGTCGCCTCTGACCTGAGTTTCCCTCCAAGCCCAACCTTTGCTCTGAGCTACAGGGAGCAGCAGACACCAGTGTTCCAAGTTTCCCGAGATTTCCTTTACTCCAATTGCCCCGTCTGTCCCATCTTCCCGTCTGCCCCTGCCATGGCCGGCAGCCTTCACTAAAGGTGCCACATGCTACATCCTATCATGGCAGCGCACCCTGAGAAGGCCACGGGAGGAAGACAGTGTCCCCTGGAGGGGTCCTCTCGTGTGAGCTCAGTTGCCCCAGCCTCTGACTCCACTAGTGTCCCCTCCCCTGCCTGATAGGATGTCTTCAGGGACTTCTAATCAGTGGGTTTCCTGTGTATTTATTTCTTTCACCAGGCTGAACAGTCCAAAGAAGAGCAGAAGCAAGGTTTGAGCGCAGAGAAGTTGATGAGGCAAGCCTCCAAGGACGTGTGTCGACTGCGGGAGCAGAGCCGGAAGGTGCCTCGGCAGGTGCAGTCCTTCAGGTAAGCAGCTCCCCACTGGGACAGCTTTTGGGCTGTCCTCGGGTCATCTCTTTATGCTGGAATTCACCTCAGTGTTCAGACATGAGACAGAAATCCTCTGTTCTCCAGCTTGAATATGTCATTCTTCGTTTGCCTGCAGAGGTAAAGGCTGGTAAAAGCCTGGCCGCCAAGAACCCAAGTGTCACCAGCTCCTAGTGCAGTCAGCACATGTCATTGAGAAATCTTTTCTTAATTTTTTTTTGTTTTTTTTTTGAGAAAGAGTCTCATTCTGTCACCCTGGGTAGTGTACCATGGAGTTATAGCTCACAGCAACCTCAAACTCCTGGGCTCAAGTGATCCTCCTGCCTCAGCCTCCCAAGTAGCTGGGACTACAGGTGCCCACCACCAAGCCTGGCTAGTTTTTCTATTTTTAGTAGAGATGGGGTCTTGCTCTTGCTCTTGCCCTGGCTGGTCTCGAACTCCTGAGCTCAAGGGATCGACCAGCCTTGGTCTCCCAGACTGCTGGGATTACAGGTGTGAGCCACCGTGGCTTTCTCATTGAGAAATCTTGGCACAGGATGCAAAGTGGTGCAGACGTCATAGATCTTTGGCTCACTTTACAGACATTCGTCCAGCACTGTACTAGGCCCTGAGATGCAGCAAAGAA